TATAATACAACACAAAGCAAGACCGACTTAACCCACCACATAATTAATGGGTTTCGAGAAATACATCATTCCTATGGTGTACATGAAAACCCTAATAGCTTTTGGATCTAGTTTGTCTAATGAACATGCAATTGAATATCCAAAGCCATAAACCCTAGATCTAATAAACTATAACTGAAATTAGGGTTTAGATCTTACCTTTGATTGTTATATAGCAATAACAATCGATCCTTGGCTTCATAAATCTTAGTGCCTCAAGTGTTGCACCTCTAATGGAGTCACAAACACCACTAAGAAATTAGATGAAGGAAAGAAGAGAGGGGAGGCACCAAAAACGGCTGGAAACCATAAAGAAACACTTAGCCACGTTTTTGGGGCATAGGGGCCCTTTATATACATGTAGGCTATTAGGGTTTGCAACTAGGAATCCCTAATCTGACTGCTTAGGCCCTAAGTAGTCCATGGACTCCTTTAAAATATCCCTTGGACGAATTCCATATGGGCTTCCCATAGAATTCGTCCAACCTATATATTATTAGGTGATCCATAGCCCAATTGTAATTATCTTATAATTACAACTCCAGTCCCCTAAGTTTAATTAATCTCTTTTAGCCACAAAATTAATTATTAATTAATTCTTGACTAATATTAATTAAACATTATGATTTCTCCTTTAATATATTATTCTTATAATATATTAATAAATCATAATTAAACCTCTCTCTCCTTAATTCATCCTACATATTGCTATGGTGAAGGCAACCAAAAAGGACCATGCTCATAATCGGGTCAAGTACATACCAAAATAGTTATGGACTTAGACACTAACCAACAATAATATGTCGACATATGTATCAAACAAGCAATCAAGTAAACACATAAACACATGAAACCATACACACTAGTCTACTTGTCTAACAGCTCACTACCGTATATCAGGCCTCACACAATACACTATGCCACTTCCGACAAATCTCCATGGAATTCTTAGCTATATGTAACAAGAGGTGAGATAGACATTTGAATAGGTGATCCCATTCTAAAGCAATAACAAAACAAATAAGAAGCAAGGAAGCATAGATCAAGAGTTATCAGGCTATCCTACATGACTACAAACAACCCCTAGGGTATTCCACTAGATGATTACCCACTTACCGGTACTATAACCAACATACCACTACTCTTATATCCTGGAACATGAGGATATTTATTGTAACACATAGTATAGTGAGGAAACTCACATGAAAGTATACCTAGAAACATAACAACGCCCATACTCACTGCACCGATCACCTCTGTGAACCGACTGGCACCAAATATATATAAATCCCTAATCAATAACCTAAATCCTTCAAGTTTCACACAAAGTCAAACTGGTAAAACTCAACGGTCAATGGTAAAAAAAAACTCAACGGTCAACCAAGTTAGTGTTCACCATGATTTAGGGACCTCTTGGCCATGTCATGGAAATACCAAGATAAAATAGTCGCGAAGCAAAGAACACCACATCGTGGCAAGCCAATTCCCACATCGTGGGAACTTGCAGATTGCCATATTCTTCATTAAAGTACTTAATCATTATAGATTTAATCCCCAAACTTCAGATCTACTTCTTTTCAATGATTTAATGGATAACGTTTCCAACTTTATAAATTAGGGATCCATTCTAAGGCTAGATCTACAACCATAAGTCCATTAAGTACTTAATTGTGCCAAAAATGTGTGCATGTGACCAAGGATCATCCAAACTAAGGCCTTTTTTCTCACTCAACATAACCTATGGACCATTAGTGAGCCATATCAAGTTCTGGAGTTCCTCAAAACTCCTAATCCATTCATGGAAGGAACCAAAACCACCCAAAATGATCTTAAACTTGAATCTAAAAGAAGAGGTGTCAAGGTGAGAACTTTATACCCCAAATAGCTTAAAAAACTAAAGAGAATGATGGATCTTGTAACGCCCGTAGATCCGAGCTAGTCAATTAGAGACGTTAAGCGTCAAAAATGACTTTTTGATGGAAAATTATTTTGAAGGAATAATCTTAATTAAGTTATAGTATATGTTACAAGGTTTCCGTGCATATAAAGAACGCCGAAATCCGAGTTATAACGAAGAAGTTATAACCTGTCGAAGTTTCGCGACAGAACCGGCACGACACAACGCTGAATGACGTAAAAAGTGAAATTTACGAGAATCGAAGATCTCATTGTTAGTATCAAAGCGATAAAAACTTAGGCGAGAACGGACGTCAAACGAAGAAGTTATGAATTTATAACGAAATTTTCTGTCCCGGCCTATTAAAAATAAATAATAAAAATAAATTCAAAATTAGCCGACAGAGTCTAAACGAAAGTTGTAGAGCGTAATCTCACCTTCGCGTGGATATAAAGAACGTCGAAAACGGAGTTCGTATGAAGAAGATATGAATTTCCGAAGTTTATTAAATAATTTGTATTTAAATTTAATTGAAAAATCCGGTATTATCCGAGGACGAGTCATCGGACTCATCCGAAGTACGCCCGGCGTACACCGAGGATGTCGACACTCGCATCAAGTGGCTTCGGATGACGAACGCAGTGATGATTTCGGACCTGTACGCCCCGCGTATAGGCGTACGCCCCACGTACTCCGAGGCTCCAGCCTCCTATAAATAGGATGCGAGGGCAGCCGGCTTCTTTGCTATTTTTCTCCATTCTCTCTCCCGTTTTGCCTCGATTTGCGTGCCAGAAATACCCCGAAGCCCCGGTAATATTCCCGAGCCCCGAAGCAAGTCCCGAGGCCCCGAAGATCCCGAGAAGTGCGATTCCCGAGCCGAAGCTCTGCCCGCGAGGAGTCCGGTTTTTGTAAAGATCTTCCAAATTTGCCGAAGAATACTACTTCTACAAGTCGTAGTGCTGTCCGATCATCTTCTAATCAAGTGAGTGTGTGGTTACTTTCTTCTAACGCATAATTATTAAGTATTATATACTATATTAAAAGTCGTGGCTTTTGGCCTCTGCTATCTAAATAGGATTGTGGCCTCTACTATCTACATAGATTAAATCCGAACCACCCATCAATGCTTTTGAATCCGACTACCAACTAAATCCGACCCATCCATTGAATCCGCCTACCGACTGAATCCGACCCACCCATTGATTCCGTTCTACTGTAACCAACCAAATTCCGGTTTCTTCCCCAAAAATTTACGATCAGCAATACAGAAAGAACCACCCACCAATGCTTTCGAATCCGATTACCGACTGAATGCGACCCACTCATTGATTCCCTTCTCCTGTAACCAACCAAATTCCGGTTTCTTCCCCAAAAAAATCATTCTCTTGCTATCTGTAAACCCTACGTTCTCATCGTATCTTTGATTCTCTTCGTCTTCCTATCTGTAACCCCTTCGTTGAAGATCGCGTTTACGGACTCTGTGTCTAAATACAACTAGTAAGGATGTTCCTATATCTGCTTTTTTTAATCTTCATTTCCTTCTAATGGATCCTCGAATGCATTGTTTGAATATAAAAATAAGATTGTTCAGTGTGATTTTCCATATAGATTATATGCATTTTTTTTATATTCATCTTCTTTCTTCTGGATATCACGCATCGTTTTGATCTTCATCTCCCTGTTCATGCATTTTTTTAATCTTCATCTTCTTTTTTCTAAATATTCAACATCTTTTTGATCTTCATCTCCTGCTGATTTCCTCAACCTGTAAAAGGAATAATCAGAATTTCTTTATTAATGACTGTCATAAGATATCAAAGTCTTCCAGTGTATATGAACAAATAGCAATTATAACTTCGTAATACCAGCCGATGAAAAAGTTTAATTTCATATTAAAGTAAACAACAATTACAAACCTAAACAGCAAAAACGAATTATGGGTTTTACTGAACTACAATTCCAACCTTTTGCAAGGGTATAATGGAATCAGAGATAAATAGAATGGTCCACTTCATTGGAATTAACAATTCCATCCTTCACTAATTGCATTATAATAAACACTAATATCACAACATGTAAGGTTGAGGACCCAATAAGTAATCAAAAAAGGCAACAACAACAATTCGGCATGTAGCACTGTATAATCCTCTCCACATACCACCATTTAAGATGCACATACAACTCCTCACTAATAACACCCACAACAAATTGTTCTTATGTTAGACCCCACCACCATAAGCAAACTAAGAAGATTGGTCGCTCAATTGAAGGGTAGAATGGGAACCACAACCGAGTCTTATGCCGACCAGACCCAGGCCTTACCTGAAAGAATTTTTGAAATGGTTTGGTTTGACTGGTCAAACTTTATTTGGTCAAAATCATGAGAAAATAGTCAAATCCCTAAGAGAGAATTTTGATGTAACTCATAATAGAATTTATGAAATTTATGAAGAGTTTTGATTGAAACTTCAGTCTATATAAAATCAAAATATTACAAATCATTTACAAAATGGAAAGTTAATGGAATCACAAATGATGAGATTTTCACTGATTTTCAAATTCCAACCCTTTGCATGTTACTGAATAACACTTTATATTAAGGGCTTCTCGCAAAGACCTAATTTTGTTGTTTGAGATTTTTGGTGGTGAGATTTTAAAATTAATTGAATATCTTTTTTTAGCTTGGTGGTGTCAAGAAGTAGGATCTGATCTTTATATATATATATATATATATATATATATATATATATATATATATATATATAGATATAGATATAGATATATATAATAATCCAATAGAATTTTGATTGCAAATCAGCTTCATAACTAAGGATTGAATCATCTTCCTGGATTATTCAATAAAAGAGTGAAGGCATTTAGCATTGACTAAGGTATGTTTTTACCCTTTTCTTTTTGGGTGTTTTTCCCTGTTTTTGTATACAATAAATTATGTTCTGCACGATTTGAATTATTCTACTTATTGTTGTTTCCGTAATATAGTTTTATTTTCTTTGTATCACTGTTTCTTCTGTCTCCTTCTACATGAGTATTGCCTTTTACGTTAATGTCTTCTAACAAACGGAAAAGAAGTTCTACCTCTGTGGCGTCGACATCAGCTCACTCAAGGACGATTTCATTTCCCATTGATGTTGATGTACTACCTGTTTATTATGATTGTGGTGATTGCTCTTGTGTATGCGAATTCTGTGGTGCTTTATTTTGGTTTACTGAAAGAGTTCTTTGGTATTCTCGAGTTAATCACCCACGTTATACTCATTGTTGTCGATCGGGTGATGTTGTTCTTCTAAATCCTATTACTCCACCAAATGTGTTGTCTCGGTTTTTTGAAGATGATAGTTTTATGCGCAATATCAGAGCATATAATTCCATGTTTTCTATGACGTCTTTTGGTGCAAAGGTGGATGAAGAAATTAATAAAAGTCATGCTCCATACGTCTTCAAGGTATCGGGTCAGATTTCCCATTGGATTGGGTCTCTTTGTCCACAAGATGGTGGCCCCCCACGTTTTTTACAGTTATATATGTGTGATACTGAGAATGAAGTTGTTAATCGAATTCGTGCTTTTCGTGAAGACAACAATGTGATTTTATCTGCAGATATTGTCACTTGTCTGAGTGACATGTTAACTGCAAACAACGAATATGTGCGTACTTTTAAGACAGCAAAAGAAATTTCGCAGTCTATGAGTTTGGATTCGTATGCTGTTCGTCTATTTAACACTGTTCCTGATAGGAGATATGGTCCCCCGGCTGCCGGTACTTTGGGTTGCATCGTTTGTGGAGATGATGTTAGTGGCGCCTCCTATGATGTTGTCATATACTCAAAGACAGGTTTACCTCAACGTATAAGTAAATTACATCCAAGTTACATGCCTTTGATGTATCCCCTATTATTTCCGTACGGTGAAGCAGGTTGGTCTCCGCAATTACAGATACACAATCAATCTTCTGGTCGGGATAAGAACCTGACAAATAATATGTTCTACAGCTATCAGATTCATGATCGTTTAGGTGTTTACTCGCTTTTATTACGTGGTCGACGCCTATTTCAGTAGTATTTAGTTGATGCTTATACATGTATTGAACAATCAAGGCTAGATTACATTGAACATCACCAACAACAACTTCGTTCTGAGTATGTTATTGGCATTTATGATGCTTTGTCTAGAGGTGATACTGATACACAGGTCATAGGAAGGCGTGTGTTTCTCCCCGCATCATTCGTGGGAGGACCTAGATACATGTATAAGCATTATCAGGATGCGTTGGCAATACGTAGGGTTCATGGTAAACCGCAATACTTCATTACTTTTACTTGTAATGTAAAGTGGCCTGAATATAGGCGATATACAAGTACTATTGGTCAAGGTAATATTCAAGATAGACCTGACATTATTGCTCGAGTTTTCCGAATTAAAGTTGATGCTTTAGTTGACTTCCTCAAGGAAGACAAAACTTTCGGTGATGTTGATGCGCGTAAGTTGTTCATCTTTACTGGCATTTTTTAATAATTTGCTCTTGCATAATGTCATTGTTTAATATATATTTCCAAATAATTACTATTTGTTTGCAGATCTTTACACTATAGAATTTCAGAAGCGGGGTCTTCCCCATTGTCATTTGCTTCTTTGGGTTGCATCTCCGTTTAAAATATATGAACCCACAGATGTTGACAAATATATTACAGCAGAATTGCCCAATCTTACAACCGAGGTTGCATTATATCGGACAGTAACCACCTGCATGTTACATGGTCCTTGTGGTTTGTTAAATATGGGTGCTCCATGTATGCGAGATAATAAGTGTAGTAAGCGTTTTCCAAAAGCCTTCACTTCGTCTACAACATTTGATGATAACGGATATGTTCATTATAGGCGACGTGCTGGGGTATGTCATGTACTCCAAAATGGCATAAAAGTTGATAATGGATATGTGGTACCCTATAATAAGCGATTATGCACACGATTTGATGCACATATAAACGTTGAACACTGTGACTGGAGTATGATGATAAAGTATCTATTCAAGTATGTTTCAAAGGGTGTTGATCGTGTCCGGTTTGTCCTACAACGATCTGAATCGACTGTTAACTATGCTTCTTCCAGCAATTTGCCTTTTGTCAATGAAATTAACACTTTTTTAGATGGTCGTTACATATGTCCTCATGAAGCTGCTTGGAGAATTTTAAATTTCCCAATTCATGAACGTGATCCAGCTGTGCAAGTTTTAGCTGTTCATTTGGAAGGTATGCAAACAACTATTTTTAAAGGGAATACACAACTAAGCTTGCTGGTCAACAATCCTACTTTTGCTGTAACAACATTAACAGAATGGATGTACAACAACCACATAGATATTCGAGGGGTCAATTTAACATATTTAGATTATCCTACCAAATTTCGTTGGAATGCCTCAGCTAAAAGATGGAGCCACAGATTTAAAGCAAATAGTACATCAATTGGGAGACTCGCATATGTGCACCCAACAGCAGGAGAGTTGTTTTACCTTAGGATTCTATTATGTCACCAGAAAGGGTGCATATCATATGATGATATTCGTACTGTACACGGAATTACACACTCTACTTTTCGTGCGGCTTGTGAGGCTTTAGGTTTAACCGGTGATGATCGGGAATGGTTAGCAGCTTTTACAGAGGCATCTTCTTGGGCTACCGCCAGTGAACTGCGGTCTCTTTTTTGCCATTTGCTTCTATTTTGTGATGTAGGTAGTCCATTTCTCTTATGGGAATCTGCAAAATCCAAAATGGGGGATGACATTCACCGTGAATTAACTTTAGAGTCACCAACTCCCGAGTTACACGATGACATTGTAGAACAACAAATACTTTTGGAAATTCAAAAATTGTTACTTGCATCTACACCATCTAGATCCCTTGCAGATTTTGGCTTACCTCTGCCTTCACCGTCACTCCTTGCTGTACTTAGAAATCGACTCCTCCTTGAAGAAACAAACTATGACAAACAATCACTAGCTTCTCAACATGCATCTATGGTTTTACAGCTAAATCTAAACCAACTAAGAATATATATGGATATTGTAAATGCTGAACAAAACCAAAAACAACTACTTTTGTTTGTATATGGACATGGTGGCACCGGAAAAACATATCTATGGACTACCATATTGTCATACTTCAGATCTATAGGAAAAATAGTGCTAGCTGTCGCAGCCTCAGGTATCGCATCCCTACTACTACCTTCAGGACGCACTGCACATTCTAGATTCATAATTCCAACAGAACTTACAGATAGATCATGTTGCAATATTAAAAAGAATACCCAACTTGCGGAGCTGTTGAAAAAGACTTCAATGATTATATGGGATGAAGCTCCAATGAGTGATCGGCGATGCTTTGAATCTTTGGATCGATCGTTGAAAGATGTACTTGAGAATAACAAATGTCATTTTGGTGGAATGTCAATGCTTTTAGGCGGTGATTTCCGTCAAACACTTCCCATTCAACCAAAAAGCACAAAATCACAAATAATGGCCCTAACTTTACCAAACTCATATTTATGGCCTCATTTTACCGTTTACAAGTTACACCACAATATGCGTCTATCTAATGCAGATAATACAACTATTCCTTCTCATTCGTTATCTGAATTTGCTTCTTGGATCCTTGATATTGGAAATGGAAATATTGGCGTTCCAGATGCAACCGATCCAGAAAACACAAAAGTTATAGATATACCTCCCAAATTTATCATTGACACAACGAAAGGACTTCAATCACTTATAGATTTTGTATATGGAAGTGAAATATTGGCAAACCCATCACCTAAAAATTTATCAGATAGAGCCATTATTTGTCCGAAAAATGAAACCGCAGATAAGGTGAATGCTTTCATCTCACTGAAGAATACAGGTCATCAAATTGTGTATAACAGTTGTGATTCAGTCATCTCGCATACACAAGACACAATCGAATTAGACACGTTATATCCACAAGAATATCTTAATAAATTAGAATTTTCGGGGGTTCCAACACATGAATTAGTTTTGAAAATTAATACTCCCATCATGCTATTAAGGAACATCAACCAAAAAGAAGGTTTATGTAACGGGACAAGACTAATTGTCTCCCAATTATTGCCATCTGTTATCGAGGCCTTTATTATAACAGGAACTTCTGTAGGAAAGCGGGTGTATATTCCAAGAATCAAATTTGTACACAACACTTCTGATTTGCCTTTCATTTTCACCCGAAAACAATTTCCAGTCAAAGTATGTTACGCAATGACCATTAACAAAAGCCAGGGACAATCTCTAAAGAAAGTTGGGTTATATTTACCACAATCTGTTTTCACGCATGGGAAACTATATGTAGCATTGTCAAGAGCTACCTCACCACAGTCAATTAAAATTCTATTGGATCCTGAATGTGATATACCCGCAAATACCACCAGAAATGTCGTCTTTAAAGATTTGCTAACAAAAATTGATATGCACGAGGTTTGCATATCATCCATGATTTTAAAATCTTAAATTGTACTAAATTGAATTACATACATGTCACATATATCTATACTACATCTCTAAATTAACAAAATGGTAGAGTATACTAACTATATATTTCATGTTTACATAGTCACAAAATCATGTCACTCGAAATGGATAGAATTTCAAACCTACACACCGGATGCTTGGGAAAAATGATACAGGTGCGCGTGCTGCAGAAATGGAAGCCTAACTTCAGAAAAAACGAAACATGGTTCATCATCATAGATAAAAATGTAAGTAATACTGAAAGTCAATATATTCTTTTACACTATATTACTTTGTAAAAATATAAGCTATAATCTTATGCATACATTAGGGGGATGCAATTCAAGTACTTGGACAAAGAGCTGATCAATCATATGTTGAATCTTCACTACTTGTCTCCCAATGTTACCAAATTAAAGACTATACTTGCACTAACGTTGATCCATATCAAAAATTCATTTCCAACCCATTCCAAATAAATGTTGGCGTTGCATCAACGATTGAGGAAATACTAGATGACAGTAGCATTCCAAAAACAAACTTCCACTTCTGTTCAAGATCACACCTAAATACTATTGCCGACAAAAATATCGAGTACCCAGGTATAAAATCCTACATTATATATTCATATAAAAGATTTATAGATACCATCATATTGCCATCTATTTACCTAATTAACATTAACATTTTAATGAGTTTTACTACACATATTTTATTGGAGCTTTCATTAATATAAAAGACTGTAACAAAAAAGATGGAGAACATTTCATAAGTATGACATTAACAGACGAAAAGTAAGTTATAAATACTAGATATATTACATATATCACACTACCTAATTATACACATAATTAGTTCATTAATATTGATAATAGTGCTGAAGACATGCCAATAATTTTGTGGAAGGAGTGCATAGAATCTGCAGACAAGTTCAACCGAAAAGAACTAACATCACACTCCAATCCAGTAGTCGTTGCCCTTACCAATATGAAAGCCACATTGTACGCAGGTCAGTTCTAGATTTTACCTTCCTGCACTATAATTTTTTCAGTTTCCTATTTCCAACTCATAATTATCTATTCCACAGCAAGTTTGAAACTAACATCTACTAGCGCAACACATATGTATGTAAACCCCGAGATAGCAGAAACATGATCTCTAATCCAAAGGTTAAATCCGTTCAAACAACACAAATAATATATATGTAAAAGCATATACAGCCACTAACTCAATAAATAAAAGCAGATTCCAAGGACAACTACCTGCAACATCCACCCCATCTGCTATACCAAAAACTTTACAACAATTCAACAGTCTAGAACACTCTCATACTGTGGTAAGCTACATGACTTTAACATTTCCTAATATTACTAATTGCTACAAACAACATATGCTAACAAAAAATGAATACATACGTAGGGAAAAACATACGTTGTAAAAGCAACAATTTCTGACTTCACTTTTAGAGATACGTGGTATTATGTCCGGTGTCCCATATGTGCTAGATCAATATTCAAGAAAGGTGACGAGTGGTTTTGTACAACTCACAGAACAACCAATCAACCAAATTTCCAGTATACACCCACATTAACTTTCATTTTCCCTATTATTCTTAAAAACAACAATGTAACCATATTGCACATGCAGCTACAAAATTGCAGCAGTTATCGTAGATGCAACAAACTCTACAACCATCTTCATGTCTGATGAAGCCACACGTAGCCTCACAAATACATCCGTGCAAGAAATGCTTAGCAAGCACCCTGATGACACCAAAAAAGTTCTACCCTCAACAATTGAACAACTTAAAGGCTCAACAAAAAATATGTTTATAGAGTGCAGCAAATCATCCAGTTCCAACATCATCCTTCATACAATCACCAAATTAACTACGTGTGAAATTTCAGAAAACCCAGCCATATCACCACTAACAAGAGTTACACTAACAACAACAGAACACACCGGAATCAACAACAAAGATGACACGACGCCTAAAAAATCACGCAAACCAAGTAAACGCCTACCACTTGGCCCTACAGGTAAAATTTATAAAAACTTCTATATTTATACAAACATTATATAACAACACTCTCTTTACTTTGCAGTTGAAGTTCCAATAACATCGCCTCAGAAACCAAAAAAAACAAGGAGCAAGGATAAACATAATCTCGTATGCAACCCTGAAACACCCAGCACAACCCACTACATTATTAATATCTTATCTACACATCCAATGACATGTATTTTATCTTTTCATACATCTATGTATATAAACAAAACAAACAATAAGAATGGTGTTAAACTATGTTAAAACAATTGTATCTTATGTATAACTCACAACCATGGTGGTAAACTATCTTAAAACACTTGTATCTTATGTATGTCATATATGTGCTAACCTATAATAACATCCTCACGTCCATTTCCACTGTATGCGTTTACACACAACATCCATCACATATAAAAATAAAATTATCTTTATTACATGCTTAACATCCACTTACAACAAACCAATCAGAATCCTACCTCTACATAATTTATCTCCAATAATATCATCTACCAACACATTTACATCATGAATAAAAACAGAACCATTATTCCACAAAGAAAAGCAACGCTATACAAAAGCCAATACACAACACATCTAAAAAATGATGTAGACTACTAACATAAACCCCTTTTACTAACATTACATGAAAAATGGCACATCAAACTACAACATAAATATGTCCCGGGGTGGAGCCCGGGAAATACACCTAGTTTAATAATAAAATACGTGTTATGTGTATATTTTGTTGTTATATGTGTGAATGTATATTCACTTTCTTCTATCTCATAGATCTGATTTATTCTCTATGAAATACGTGTTATGTGGGTGTGCCTCATTTGTTATGTGGAATAGGTATTGAATGAGAATGCTATACAAGTTTTAAATTATGTATAAAAATATATATTTTTATCTACTAATATGTTGGGTAGAGCATGGGTAAATAGTTGATGTGTGATAAACAGATGAGAGGCCCCGATGTTGTTGTTGTTGATCTAGTTATTCAGCGAGTATGGATTAGACCAAGATGTTAGTTTTAGATCCGGGAGTATGGATCAGGTAAAGAGATAAAACTTGTTATTAGTCCGGGAGTATGGATTAAGACTAAGTTAATTGTCCCTAGTCTGGGAGTATGGATTGGGTACAATTATTGATCCGGGAGTATGGATCAGATCAGGATTAGGGTATAGTTAATTGTCCTTATTCCGGGAGTATGGATTGGGTACAATTACTGATCCGGGAGTATGGATCAGATCAGGAGGTTAGTTTTAGATCCGTGAGTATGGATCAGGTATTTTTAGATCCGTGAGTATGGATCAGGTGAAAAAGGTTAGTTTTAGATCCGTGAGTAGGGATCAGGTAAGGAGGAAAATTTTAGATACGAGAGTCTAGATCGTGTCGTTGTGAGGATCGATGGGGTGGGATAAGAGTTGACTTTATATGGTGAAATTGTACAAGTTTGAATGTTCTATATTTATAAATATATGATATAACATTGTGGGATGAAAACCCTATATGCTCACCAGGCTCCCAAGCCTGACCCACTCAGTTCTCTTTGTATCACAGGTATTAATACGAAGACATATTTCACAGAGAGATTTAAAGGATATATAAATCAATTGTGTAATTAAATGTAAGTTCTGTTTATGCTTATATGTCTATATCGGAACATGACATCCCGAGGTTTTATTATTAAATGAAAATACATTCTCTTCGAGAAATGTTTTGATAAGTTATTATCATATCTTGTTTTGGGAAAAATTCTGCAACTGTTTTCTTTAAAAGAGTACTCTGATTTTAAAAACAAGCATAAACAAATCGGTCTTTTCTTGCCGTAAAAATGGCGATGTCACAGATCTAAACCACCTCCTTATTTCCTTGCTTCCTTGTAAATTTCCTTCTTCTTATGCTTTACCAAAATCCAAGGAGTAAGCTTCAAATTAAGAAAACAAGTTTTCTAATCTTCATGGAAGCTAAAGTTTTCATTGATAAGGGGTTGTTGGTTGAAGACGATGCCCTAATCTTTGATATTAGGTGCTTAAATATGGAGAAAACCTTAAAAATCATGAGCTTGGGTTACATCAACTCCCATGTCATCGCCTTCCTCTATTCACATCGTGGTGACCATCCAAACGCGCATTCCTACATTAGACATGCCACATCCTGGTGCTCCATTCACCACGTCATGCCATTATATTTTTCCTAAACACCTTACCTCTAACCCCTATAAGACCTCATATGATCCATTCTGGAAAACGGGAGTTACAATTTTCATAAAGCTTGAGGAAGGAGGAACCTTATTTTGGTGAAATGAAACAAGGAGCTAGCTTAGATCCATCATCTTCTTCATATTTTTGAGTCATTCGAGGTATAAATTTTATACCTTGACCTTTTTTCTTCTAGACTCAAGTTTGAGTTCATTTTGGAAGATTTTGGTCCCATTCATGGATGCTCTTGGAGTTTGAGGAACTCCAAAGCTTGTTGTCCCTCTAATGGTCATTATGATTATAAGGAGAGGGAAAAGGAGTCATTTTGGAGCAACCTTGAGTCTATGCATAAGGAATTAATGTTTGGAGGACTTAATGGACACAGGGTTGTAGATCTTGCTTGGTGGTGATGTTCTAATGGATAAAGTTGGAAACTTTATCTATTAAGACATTGAAAATAATCAGATTTGACGTTTTGAACCTTGATCTAAATTTATTAAGTGCTTAAGGAATAAAATTTCTCCTGGCCAAAAACCACAATGTGGCCATGAGCTTACCACGACGTAGTGGCCTGATTCAAATCGACCATTCTGTTGTGACTTAGCCACAATGTAACCAGGATCTTGGCATGATGTGGTGTTGTTAACCTGTTGACTGTTGACTTATAAATAGTTTGACCTTGGTTCAAACTTGAAGGATTTGGGTTGTTGATTGAGGGTTGATCTTTGGTTAGTGTTAGCCGGTTCACAACTTCGATCAGTATGAGGAGTTGAGAGTGTTGTTGTGCTTTTTTCAGGTCTTCAATTTAGGTGAATTTCCTCACTATACTATGTGTCATATATCCTTTCATGGTAAGATATAAGAGGGTAGTCGTTCAGTTGAGTGCCATAGGGTTTGTCTATAGTCATGTAGGATAGCATTAGAACTTTTGATCTAGGATTTCTTGCATGTTCTTTGTTTGGTTGTGGATTTAGAGTAGGATCATATGTTTGATTGTCTATCATACTTCTAATTATATACAACATTACAATTAACTCGTGATCTCCCATTTGCAGCATAATGTATTGTATAAGACCCTATATGCGGTAGTAGGATGTTAGATAGATAGACTAGTGTAGACAGTTTAATGTGTTGTTGAATTGTTTGATTGTTTATTTGTTTGTTTTTTATATATGTTAACATATCTTGTGGTGGGTTGAGGCGGTCCTGCTTTGTGTGGTAGGCCAAGATACATGGGTGATGCGAAGTGGACTCTTGTGATATTAGAAGGGCCACCACTTAGTGTTTGAGTCTTGGAACAGAAAAGGGAGAATCGTCAGCCATTCACCACACTAGGATCCCAAGACGATGCTCTGACGATGAAGTCAGTGATCTTTCTTAGAGAGAATACCCAAAGAAAAATGGGTTGGAGAACTTACTTCCTGGAGGAATAGTCATTGTCCTTATATAGTTGACCTAGACGGTGCCCTCTTCTCCAAACATACAAGAATGTCAGCTCTGATAAGGGACACAACTGATGATTGGAGGAGATATCCTTTGCATTATGCTCTGGGATGTTATTGATATGTGTAAGGCCTTAGTGGTTCATAAGCCACTAAGGTTGTTGGCTAAAATTGTTTTGTCACCAGGAGACTTTCCTTTCGTGTGGTGGGGCGGGGAGGTGCCTTGAATACTACTCGCATGGACGTAACCTTCCTGGTTGGCGCGAGATCACTCTCGCCCAGTCTCCTAGGTGTCTTCTGAGGTATTGCCTCTTGGCGTAACCCTAAGGTCCGCTATCAAGTTTCCCTAGTCTTAGCTCTCATGACGCAGGCTTGCTTAGTTATGATGGGTGGACTAGCATGTACAGCTGTCGCTTGATGGTTGCTTACCTTTGATACTACAAATCATATCTGGCTTAATTCAAATAACATGTACTGGGTCCAAAGCTAAAGACTAGATTACCCCTGATCCCATAATATGAGTCTAGCTTGCCTATCAGGCCCACAACTCATATCTGGCTTGCTCCCGAGCCCACAACATAAGTCTAGCATGCCCTCTGGCCCACAACTTATGTATGGCTTGCTCCCTGGCCCAATTAGTCACCATACTGGAATACTAATGTTCAACCCTCAGTATGAGTCTGGCATACCAATTGGTCCTCAACTCATATCTAGAATGCTACTGAGCCCTCAGCATGAATCTGGCAAGACCTTCCCGACCCTCATCTCATATCTAGAATGCTTCAGGGTTTGTTGGCTACAACACAAAGCATTACAACCTCAACCTAACACAAAAATCTCGACATATAACAGATAGCAAATACATACAGATAATCAAGCATACAGGATCATGGGTAGTCCTACAGATCTATCAATCTAACATATCAAAACTAGCATGCATATTTATTTCATACTTAGCATATCAAAGAATATTAGGTTATCAAACCAATGGGCCAGCCTAGGTGCCTTCGACAGGTAAGTAGTGTGAGGAGAACTCACCTCACACTGTCGAATATCACAAAAAGAATCTCTATTTGCTGGCCCGCAAAAATCCCCGTGCTATAAATCACAAGTTAATAATCCACAATAATCGGATCCGACCCACACTAAGTGTCCAAACCATGTTAAAAGACCTTTTTACCCACTTCATAACTTGGACCAAATCCAAGGCCCAATCTAACAATCCAAAAGCCCAAATTCCAAATAAGCACCCAAGGCCCAAGCATGGCCCAATTTTCTAAATTTCTAAATTGGGCCAAACCACTTCCATGGGCTTTAACCCAAGGCCCAATAAAATTCCCATCCTAAAACACCAGAAATCAGATGGCCCAACAAAGCCCCAAACATCTAAGCCCAACACATTGCCCAAATCGAAGACCAAAGGATCTGAGGCCCATTCTGCTGAGTATGCGGGGAGTACTCAGCGGTACGTTAAGCGTACATGCTTTAGGGCTTGTACGCTGCATGTACTGGCTTGTACACCCAATGTACTCCTCTTATTCAACCACCTTTCACATATAACCCTTAATCCCTTAAGATATTGCTCCAAAACATAGATTTGACTTCCTTGAGCTGAATTCTCACGTAAAGTTGCAAACTTTACATTCATACATGGATAAATGAAGCTCTTAATCTTAAAGAGGACTTGACAAGTGACTTAATGCATGCATGTGACAAAAAATCTCATAAAACTTGCACCTTTATGCCATAGGAGCCCACCACAAGCCCATATCTAAAAGAATGGTCCCTTAAAATGTTTTAACTCTTTAATCAACCCAAAAATGGGACTAAAAGCATAACAAAACAAACTATGGGGAGATCTAAACATCTACAAGTCAAGTTATGAACTTGATACCTTAAAGAGATTGCAACAAGTGAGATGATTCTAGATCTATGACCTTCCTTGCAAGCAAAGCACCATCAATCTTCAAAGCTTCCTACACAATAAGATGAACAACCACTAAAATCCTCTCAAGGGATCAAGAACACCACCAAGGAAGCTTAAGGGATGCTTTAGGGTTTTAGGAGGTTTGGGGGGGCTCATAAAGAGACCAGCCTTAAAGATTTAACGTGCTTAAATAAGGTACACCACCCTCAAATTAGGGTTTCTTGAATCCCTTGTATGCCAAACGTACGACGTCGAAGAGTCGCAACCAAACTGCTAACCACACTCAACGTATGCCAAGGTATGACTCGCGTAAGGGTCCTTGCACGAGTACGCCCTGCGCACTCCCCATGTACCCCCCACGTACTAGGGTTATTCCTCAAAACCCTAAATTCTTCTGAAGGCCATAACTTCTTCATTATAAATCGGATTCTTATGATCCTTATATCGATGAAAAGGTAACGAGAATCTCTACGCTTTTATCATCTCAAAAACACCTTAAAATTCCCTGAATAAAATCAAACTTCCATCAAAGTTCGAGCTGGTACTTTACCAAAATACCCTTTGGTTCGAAAACACAAATTGAACCCTCAGATCATCTAAATTTACATCACCCCACTCCAAATAGGTCCATATCTCATTTCCTCAAGCATCCTAAGCCTGATAATACCTGATCTTTGGTTACCAACCCTGAATAAGAAACAATTCAGAACATGGTGTTACAACTCTCCCCCACTTAAATTAGATTTTGTCCTTGAAATCATTCCTTACCAACCCCGTCATACCAGACAACCTGAGCAACACGGATACAACCTCGAGCATACCACATCCTTCTGAAGGTATCCGAAACCGACCCTTGCAGAGCTCCCAAACCTGAAGATAGACAAATCCTTCTCAACCTCAAACAATCCAATGCAAAATAACTATGTTTACTCAATCTGAAATCTGAAGCCTCGAATTGGTCTGGCTCCCTGAAAAGTCGCGCATAAAGAACTGTTGCTAATTCCATTCTACTTATCCCCCAACCAACTACTCAAGCTCTGATAACCGGAAGTTGCCACTAGAAAACAGATTCACATACCACATGTTGTTGCTGACAACCTTTCACTTGACCAAAGGGACATATATTCCTTCGAGTGAAAGCGCTTCATCCTGATGACAAAACTTCCAAGAATATAATGAACAATGGGAGACAAACTAGGAGATGAATCTTCTAGTGTCGGACAAGACACTGCTTCCTTTAAATCCCAAACCAACATACTGCTGCTGAAATTCCAAAAATCCATACTTTTCTGACTCTCACATAGATAGAACCAAACCAAACCACAACCAGAAGAATCTGATCTGCCATCGAAACTGCAACCATCCTTTAACCCAAAAACCTCCAACTGATACCCTTGGCATACATATTCCTTAATTCATATCCTATTGAGATGAAGACCTTGCATATAAACACCCGTGATTCCTAACGCGAGTTCCCACCAAGAACCAACTCAGTACTAAACTCATAACCTGAGATCCAAGGACCTACACTTACATCTCACCCAAAATCTTTTAATTCACGACAACCCCTCGCTAGACCTGGATATAAAGATTTCCTCCAACCATCTTTGAGACTACCAGTCTCACACCTGGTCCAGCCATTAGGTTCCCAAGAATCTGAAAGACAAGGATATCCTAACCTAAGCATCCCTCTACACAACTTACTAATAGCACATTCAATCATACAACCCAAGATCCAAAACCTCGACCTAAAAATAGAGAAATAATCTCTAAGCATCCTGCTCTACATGCCCTAGGCACGAACTAACCCCCCTTAAATGATTGCCTCCATCAACTGGTCAATGCTATGATCCCATCGCAATCTTACAGCACTTCCAACTACCCATGGTCTTACCATACCTAATCATCACAACCCTACCACTTGAGTTGAAACCTGCATCCACCTTCATTCGATCAGGTGTTTTGGTTGGGCTTCAAACCCCCAAAGCCTTTATTAAACCATAACGGACAGCAAGTCTCCAACACAACCCTTAAACTGGATCCATCCATAAACCCATTATACATCATAGTGGAAACGCTGACCAGCTATCAGAAGTTTCCTGAACTCCCACCTTACACAACTTCAATCTAGACAGCCACCAATGTTGCTTCCCTCTTGACTAAGACGTGAAACTTAACCTAGTTCCCCACCCGATTCAGCACTCGAAGATTCTGATTGATTCTCCCCCACTTGGATTTGCCGAAGATCTCCCATCCCACAAATTTTTTTGGGTTCCCAAACCACCTTATCCTCACGAACCGCCTATGACTCGCGTCTACCAAAAACAACATCCCATTACTAGCCAATCTCGTGATGGGTTATGTGCATAACATCAATCATATGGTGTACATGCAACCCTAATTGCTTTGATCTAGGTTTCACTAAGTAAACATACAACATTGAATACCAAAGCAATAAACCCTAGTTCTAGCATACTATAATCGATTGGAGAAACTTTTATCATAAAACATGATACTAAAGTACTCTACCATATTTTCAGATTGGAGAAACTTTTATCTTTCTGCCCAATTGATTCTTCTTATTCATTCTGCCATTCATCGAAACTTTTCAATGATTTAGAATTACACTTAATCTTGTAAGCATAACCATATTTACTAAACTCTTAGCAAATCATGAAGAATAATCTTATTGTTATTTTTGATGGACTTGACCAGTGCATAACATTATGTACCAGATCTCCTAGTCATTTACTTGACTCACATACTTATGTGAACAAGGAATCAGTCTTAATTTCCTAAGTACCAAGATTTCCATACATCACATGACTCAAATCATATGATTCCAAGCTTCTGTCCAATTGAAACTTGGGCGATGGGAATCTTTCCTTAGAAAATTACGACACTACCATAAATAACATAACTAAGAATCACACTCACTTAATATTGCTTATAATCGAAACACACAATCATCAATTTTCATAAATGACATTGTAAGGAGATATAAATAAGACAAAACTCAAAATTTATTTTATTTATCAAAAGGTGTGGAAAACTTATCCTTACAACGAAAATTCAAATGAAAACTATGGTATTACATATTCCTAAGAAATCTATCATAACTCTAAGTCGCAGCTCAAAAATCTGATTATCGAATCATGCGATCGAAATCCATTTCTTCGTGATCAGACTCAGCTTACTTCTTCCTTTAAGCTTCCTTTCTTTTCTTCGATCCTACAACACATCAAAATGCAATCTTATCACATCATGTATTAAGAATCTCCAAATAGGAACTTAATAGAGTTAGATAGTGGATTTACCTGAAGCAGAGTCATACATCTTGACTCTCCCATCCTCTTGATCCTTCAGGTAGGTGCGGCAGCTTCGCAACCAAAAC